TAAGCCCAGGGTTCAGGGTTTAGGGATTTAGGGTGTTGAGTTATTTAGGGGTATACATATAGGGAATTATGGAGAAGAACATGGAAAATGACTAATTCGAAGGGCTTTTGGAAATTTACCTAAACCCTAAACCCGCCTAGGCTTTAGCAAGCTTCAGGGCTCAGGGTTGGAATTAGAGCCTAGGGTTTAGGGATTTAGGGATTTAGGGAGTTTGGAGTTTGAGGGTTGAGGGAAGTTTAGGGTTTCAGGGTTTAGGGTTTAGGGAGTTTTGAGTTTTGGACTTGGTTTCATGTTTATGGAAAGTTTACAGGTTTAACGTTTAGGGATTGAAGGTTTAGAGTTCGTGGTTTCAATTGGGGCTTGCGTGGAAGTTCAGGATCTGACTTATGGCGTATGGTTGTAGGCTTCAGGGTTGGGATTTTAAGGCCTTCGCTGACATGGAGCAATGCCAGGGATCGGCCTTTTTGGGGGGCCCCCGGCTTTGGGCATTCCCATATAGCCGCTTTAGAAAGGACTTGAGTCTTGGGGAGGGTAGCCTACACCGCTGAGTCCTTTTGCTGAAGTCCTGGAAGTAGTCTCTCACATCCTTTTTGGGAATGATCCCGTCCCCACACCTACAACCTGAACTCCAATATCCTACGCAAACGTTCATGGGATTTGGTAACTACTTCTAGCTCGGGATGATAACTAGGGCCACCGGGGTTATGAGTTCACTTATACATAGCTACTAAGTCCCATGAACCCTAAACCCCTAAACCCTAAACCCCCGCATTGCCAAGCCCCTAAGCTCCTACACCTCTAAACTTTAAACCCACAAACCCTAAACCCCTAAATCAACACGCAACTCATATGATGACCATGCGTCCCCGCACCCGTATGCAGCCCCCCAAAAACAATAAGTTTTTACCAAGCCCAGATAATTGTAGCGAAATCATGCCTTGAGTTGCGGGGACCCTTGTGCTGCAAAGCCCATAAACACCCCAAAACCCTAAAACCCTAAGCCCTGAACCCCAAACTCTTCCACCGAGCTTTCGTCAGCCTTGCTTGAGGTCTGCGAGTGCCGGGTGATGCTTTCCAGGTCTCCACTATCGAGGCTCTAGCGAGGAAGTGGATACCTTCTCAGGGAGATTTAGGATTTAGGGATTAAGGGTTTAGTTAGGGTTTAGGATTTAGGGTTTAGGATTTAGAGATTAAGGGTTTATGGTCTAGTTAGGAGTTTAGGGTTTGGGAGCTTTGGGTTTGGGAGTCTAGAGTTGAGGAGTTCAGGGTTCAGGGTTTAAGGGGATCCAGGGCCTTTGGGGCGGGGTTAGGATTTCTCTAGGGATCGGAAAACGTTCCAAAAACTGACTGATCCGCAATTAGGAGACCCTGGGGTCATATGAGCTATAGTCTAAACGCCTTAATGGGGGTTATATAGGGATTATGTAGAGGAGTATTACAGGCGTTATTAAGGGGGATACTAGGAGTTTAGACTATAGCTCATATGTTTGGCTGTTGAGAGTTCCCTGCTTTTGATCCACTTCTAAGGATGTTCCGAACACGAGACACGGCTCAGGGTTTAGGGTTATAAACTCCCCCACGAAGCGCCCTGAACTCTAAGCCCAAAAACCGAAATGGCATAAGCTTATTGTTTTGAAGGGTTCGGTTTAGGGAATGCGCAGTTCGCCTATTAACGCTACTTTGGCCGTCCTCCTGTGCCATGATTATTGCAAAGATGCAAGAACTCAGGGGTATTTCATTGATGTCAACCATGGGGAAATGGTGCAGCATGTTCACCGCACTATGGAAGATCAAGTTGGTGGTGTAGCGTGTTTGAAGCATTGTGGCCACGGATGCAAGATAGCAACCCCTGACTTTGGTGTCTTCGGCACCCCATGCAATCCTTTCAGTTTCCAGAGGACTTCTCGCAGCAAAGCAGGGAACGTGGAGTCCCACAGGTTGTATGATGTAACCTTCGCAGACTCGGTGGACTGGCTTGTCAAGTTCGAACCACCGACTGTGATAATGGAGCAAGCAGAAGGATTTGCAGCTCCCCTGTCATGTGATGATCCTGAGACACCATTGGAGAAGTTGCCTCGTTTCAAATCTGCCACGAGTCACTAGTCACTACCTCTCACTTCAGGAATATGTGGCTGAATGTTTTTCAAGCAAGGGGGCCTTATGCGGGTTTAGAAGTCCAGGGAATGCGTGTCACCTGTTATAATGTAGAATTCCTCACGATGCGGGCTCAGGTTTCGAGGCCAGGTTTTACGGAGGATCCTGCAGAAGTTTAAGCCCGAAACCCTAACCCCTAAGCCCCAAAACCTTAAGCCCTCCCTAAACCTTAAGCCTCTGTAAACCTTAAACTCGGTTTGGGGTCATGACGAAGTTCTGTGGGCTAAATGAACTTACGTCAGGTTTGTCGCTTTCTCTGGCAAAGGGTCATCAGATCTCGAGCCCTGAAGCGTTGAAGACCCAAGCGGTTAAGGGCTTTGGGTTTAGGTTTTAGGGCTATAAGCCCCCTCCCCCAGGCTATTGCCCGCCCTGAGCTGCAAACTGGGTTTCAAACCGGAATCAAAGAACCCCCCCTACCCTAAACCCTAAACCCTGAGCGCCTTAGCCTCATTTCTTCTTGTTGGTTCTTAGTCGGGAATAAGGTACCAGAATCCTTATATAATCCCTATATGAAGCATTCCCTTATTCAACTTATTCCCTGCCCTAAGCTCTGAACCCTAAACCCCAAACCCTCATCCCTAAACCCCAAACCCCAAATCCACTTTCAGGGATCGTGCTGCAACAACATCCTAAGGACAGCTGCCCTTGGAGAAAAGGTCCCACAAAAAAAATCCCAAACCCCCAACCCTGTCTATAACATAATCCTCTGCTCCCTACGAAGAACCATTAAGATTTTCGAGCAGGCGCACGATGCCATGGTGAAGTTCGGCGGCATGCCGCAGTTCCTTAGCTGGGTTAGGTAAGTTGCAATATTTAGGGTTTTGGGTTTGGGGGTAGAAGCCTAAAGAAGTGCCAATATTGAGGGTTTAGGGTTTGGGGTTCAGGGTTTAGGGTTTGGAGGGAAGGATTAGAAGCTTAAAGAAGTACCAATATTGAGGGTTTAGGGTTTGGGGTTCAGGGTTTAGGGTTTGGAGGGAAGGATTAGAAGCTTAAAGAAGTACCAATATTGAGGGTGTAGGGTTTAGGGCTTGGGGTTTAGGGTTAGAAGCCTAAAGAAGTACCAATATTGAAGGTTTAGGGTTTAGGGTTTCAAGCCTGAATGAGTACCAACATGTATAGGGTTTAGGGTTAGGGGTTTGGGGTTTAAATCAGTACCAATGATTCAACGGTTGCTCCATACACCCAACATGTTTTGAGGTTTAGGATTTGGAATCGCTGCTATTGGTCCCCCATGACAATTTCACAGATCGCCTCTTTTCTCGGGGGGAGTGGGGAGGCAGGTGTCTACAATTAGGGGCAGGGCTTTTAGTAGACACAGATGTAGTTATGTATACATATATACACATGAGCTATAGTCTGGACTGCTAGTATCCCCTTTCCTAACCCCCATAGTAGTCCCCCTATATTACCTCCTTTAAGGAGTTTAGAATAGAGCTCTATATATATATATATGTTTATTTATGCCACAAAACCGAAGCCTTCCATCTGAATTTTGCAGTCCTCAAGGCGCCCTGTAAGATGCTGTAGAGCCTCCATGTGCTTCCTCTCTTGTTCAGGGTTTAGGGATGGCCAGACTCCTGCATGAAGACCTCATGGTTCGTGGTCATAGAAGCATACCTTGGGTCGCTCCATCCAGTCCGAGGAATTGAAAGTTGCAAGCCTCATCAGGCATCCTAAGCACCCGACAACACATACAAACAGAGGCAGGATCGCAGGATACATCTAAACGCTAAGCTAAACATGCTCCACTTTACATACTTTCAGGATTTATGCGAAGTCTGAAGCCGTAAACTTCCAACCCCCCAAACCTAAACCACCTAGCCCTAAACCAGTAAGCCTTAAACCCTGATCCGTAAACCTTGATCCTTAAACCACTAAACCCTCAGGATCTATGGTCTAGGTTGGGTACTGCCCCCACTCAGTAACAGTCTATATTAGGGGTCCTATTAAGGGCTATATATAGCCATATTATAAGTATTATCCAACTGTTTCTGAGGGGGGGCAGTACTTAAGGTTTAGGGTTTAGGGTTGCGGTTTAGGGTTGACCTTCACCTACGGAACTTCTGCATCATGAGGATCCTTATCTGGTGTGGACTGCTGGAGGCATGACGTTTCGAGTTGAGGGGTTGGGAGTCGGGTTTAGGGAGCAAGGGTTGGGGCTTAGGGTTGAGGAGTAGGGTTTAGGGGTTGCGGTTTAAGGGGCTCGGGTTTTGGAATGGGGGTTTAGGGTTTCGGGATTGGGGATTAGATAGGATTTAAGGATTCGGCTTTAGAGCTTCGGAAGGTTGAGAGGCCCTCCATAAATAGGACAGACCCAGCAAGCCTAAACCCTACGACCCTTGGGTCTGGCCTACGGCCCCTAGTATAATGAGATGATTTGGACAAACCCTATTCCCAAAAGTGTTTTATGATAGCCATAGGGTCCTAGCGCTAGGGGACTGGGTCACACCCCATCTGCTTGTTATAGGACTCTTACCAGTTACCAATCGTGCAAAGCTTGGTTGGGCTTCGGGGATTTGCGGAGATGTGTTCAGAGCTTTCAGGGTTCCTCCGGGTTTAGCGTTTAGTTTTCTTGTAAGGGTTTGGGATTTGGGGGTTTGAGCGCACTGTGTCATGAAGAGCACTGTACAGCGTGTTGAGAAGATGCTGCTTCGTCAACGCGGCATTGGCTTTCGCACGTTTCTGATTTTGGAACCCGACGATGTGCCGTCAACTTGGGCAAGCGTCCTGCACTGTTTTACATGTCGTGGCTTCTGACAGTTTTCTGCAGACGGCATATCCTGGATAGCAGAATTCAAGGACCATCCACTTCTGAACCTGGATTTTTTCGCCACGATTATAAAGGAGAGCCTGCTCTCTGTACTCGGAGGTCCTTACGTGGAGTTCTGCCACTTTAGAAGGTCACCGAATTCTCTGAATCTGCTTTTGGGGTTCCCCCAAACCCTCAACCCTAAGACCTAAACCTTAAACCTGAGCTGCGAACCCCAAACCCTAAGCCTCGAACCTAAGTCTTCGGCGTCTTGGTTGCAGGGCTTAGCTTACTGGTGCTTGAGAGAGAGTGGGGGAGTGGATCCTTCTAATCATCCCTGTATCATCCCCATATATACCTCTATGATGGTACCTATATTCACTCCCCAAATCACCCTCAAGCACCAAAGGTTTAGTTTTAGGGTTTGGGAAAGGGTAGGAGCAGGTTGAGGTGGTTTTGGGCGCAGTAATAGAGGAACCCTTAATCAACTCTTCTTGATCCCTGGCCTCGTTTCGGTCGTTCTCCATTGCAGCTGGCTTTTTAGGGGTTTAGGGTTTAGGAGTTCATGGTTCAGGGGTTCAGGGGTTGAGGGTTTAGGAGTTTGGGTTTAGGGGCTGAGGGTCTAGCAATTTAGGGGTTTAGGGTTTAGCTTTTCCCAGAATCCATATACTATGCTGGAGTGGGGCTCCGATGCTCCCTTTACAACTTGTCCGCCCAGGAGCCTAAATTAGCTAACCTCTACCGTGGAGCCCTGGAGCCAAGGCAGCCAGTCTGTAACCTCATACCCCCACCTCAGAGACCCATGCAAGCCCTTTTGGCCAATCTTTGCGGCTGAGGGTTCTGGATTAAGTTTTTTTTTTGTAGTGTTTATACTAATATTGGTAGTAATAATAAAGTAACCCCAACCCCCTCCAAAGTGCACCCTGTTACAGAAAATAGGATAGTTATGAGGTCCTTGTTAATTGCAGGGGTTGGGGAACTTACGTCCCTCAGGATGTTGGGGGTAAGGTTCAGCTCTTGGCTCGAGTTTCTAGGACGGGTTTGTCGCCCTCACAGTAACTGTCCTTCATCTATAAGGTTTATAGTTTATAAGGTTTAGGGTTTAAGGTTTAGGGTTTAGGGTGCAGGGTTTATGGTAGTTTCCATGATTTTTTTCGTGTTCCTTTCCAATCGATTGTCCATTTTTGAGCCTTCTAATCCCCATGTTGCACCAGCTCAAGTCCCCGCTAAGTCCTAAGAATCACAGTAGCTAAGGGATCCATGAACCGCTAAGCCCCAAAACCCTAAGTCCTAAAACTTACACCCTAAGCCCTACACCCTAAGCCCTACGCCTTTGACCTTAAGCCCTAAACCTCGAGTATTAAACCGTAAATCCTAATCGTCTGAATTTAACGTTGCCAGATTCTTAGGCTTCACGCTAAGCCAAGCCTCAAGCCTCGAACCGGCGCTTAAATCCCAAAACCAACATCCTACAGCAAAACGGTTTTAGGTGTTAGGGTTAAGGGTGTCGGGCTTAGGGTTCAGGGTTTACTGTGATAGGGTTTGGAGTTTAGGGTTTATGGGTTCAGGATTTCGGATACACCCCACCCTGAACCCTAAATCCTAAACCCTAAATCCTAAACCCTAAAGCCCAAACTTGAGAGGTGCTAGGCCTCTTCGCGTATGTGAACATGCGAGAGGGCAAGACGGCTTCTGAGCTCAAACTTGGCTTCTGCTAGCCGGGCGGGAGCTTTTCAGGAGACCTACACTAGGTAGGCTTTGGGGCTTAGGAGTTTAGGGTTTTAGGGTTTTAGGGTCTAGGGTTTAGGTCAGGGATCTACATAGGGGTTTCTTTCAGAAACTTCCATGATTTTAGCTGCTTCCCGTGTATTTCACAGTCATTTTGCACAGCTGTTTCTAGCAAGTATAGTAGTTATTGGAAAAATTGACTAAACCCTAAACCCTAAACCTGATATTTCCGAAATAATCCCCTCCCCACTACTGCCCTCCGAGGCCTCAATAGCAAACCGTCGCAACATAGCACCACTATACATGAAGGGGAATGTTCTGGGTACTGCCCCCAAGGGCTATATATACCCATATGATAATTATTATGGAACTGTTACTGAGGGGGGGCAGTACCCAAGAAATGTTGAAAAATTGGGGAGCAATGAGGGTGCTGTTATTTGGGGAAGGAATCCATGGGCCAAGATGAGAGCCCGGCTTACAGTCAGAGCAATCTATGTACTGCCAGTTCTGAGATTGCACACGCAGGTAATAGTATAAAACACCCTAAATAGCAGTTTCCATTTCTTTTCCATTATCCCAATATAACCCCAATATAAGCCCCACTTAATGGGTACTTAGCATCTTGGTTGATTCATGTCCCATGAACCTACGGGAAGGCTTTTAGGTTTGGGGTTGGGGTTCAGAGTGCAAGTTCTTCTGTAGGGTGTCCCTACACCCTAAACCCTTAAAGGTCACCGGAAGTCCTTAAGCCTTACTGTAAACCTAGACTCCTTGCAGAGACGCCCTGAAAGGCCTGGACCCCAAATTGTTGGAACATGAGCCCCAAGTCCCAAAACCATCTACAACCTAAACCCTAAACCCTTCGTCGCCCTTGTAAGGCTCCGAGGTCCCACAAAAAAATGGTCCACCCTTTTATACTACAGAAGCCTAAATAATTGCCAATATCATTTCGAGGTGCATTTGAGGTACCCTATACTATAATTATACAAGGAATATGGAACCGTAACATTGGTAATTATTTAGGCCACTACAATAGGCCTTAGATGTATTCCTTGTCGAATCCTTAAGTATAATGTCTATCGAACCCCAAAATACCCTTTAAGAGCAGCCCCTATTGCCTGGAAGCCCTAAACCCTAAACCCAAAGCCCTAAGCCTCTCAACCCTAAGCCCTACACCCTGAACCCTCAGCCCTCAGCCCTAAACCGCAGCCCTAAACCCTGAACCCTAAACCTTAAACCCCAAAAGCAAAGGACCGTAAGCCTGGCGATTTCGGCCTCCGGGGCTTCTACCCCAGCGACCCTAAGGGTCAGTACGACATGCAGGCTCCTGGGGGGGTTAGGGTTAAGGGTTCCGGGTTTAAGGTTGAGGGTTTAGGGTTTAATGTTGAGGGTTGAGGGTTTAGGGTTGAGGGGTTTAGGGTTTAGGGTTAGGGTTTAGGGTTTTGGCCAGGATTTAGACTTTGTGGAAGGTTGAGGACTGGGGGTATGGAGATCTGAAGGACCTACAGGGTTTTGGGGGGTTGGAGGGGTTATGTCGGGGGGTTAAGGAGTGTAGGGGTTCGGGGCCTGGAGGTGTAGGGAATTGTGGGTCTAGGATTTGTGTTTTAGGAGGATTTTGGGTAGGTGTAGGGGCTTAGGGTTCGGGGGCTTCGGTGGGACAACATGTGTAGCGTCAAGAATTCTAGGGTCCCATGCTTCCACTCCTCAGCATAGACTGTGCGGTAGAATCGGTGCCCCAAAACGTGTGCATAATTTTTCCAACATCCCGTTTGGCGGATTGCTTGGCATGGTTGGGTAAATGGAGGATGTAGACATGTGTAGGGTGGAGCGGGTTCAGGGTCTAGGGGAGTTTCATCAGCAACAGCAGGAGTCTGAAACTTTCGGTAGTCAAGCTCCTCATCTCTAACGTCATACTTCTGCTACCCTGAATCCTAAACCTTTTACCCTGGAGTTTCAACGCTAAACTACCCAGCTCCTGAGCCCCGATAACAGCATCCGTAGGAATCGATTTTCCTCCATGCCCAAACGCGAAGCACGAAACCGAAAACACCCAACAGCCCTAAACCCCAAATTCTGAACCCTAAATTCTAAACCCTAAGCCTAACCCCCAAACCCTAAACCCTCGAACCTAAAACTGAATCCCCCCACGCCCGAGACTTTCGAGGCTGAACGTGCATACTCCAAAGCCATATCCGCCCAAACTCAGAGCCGAAACTTGACGAAACCCAGATACCTAACACTTCTGCTGGATTAATCATATAGGGGTTTCGGGTTTTAGGGTTTAGGGCCTAACATGTAAGTTGGATGGATTATATGGGGGTTATTTAGGGGGTTATACAGGAATTGTAGGGGGTTTATATTGAGGATTGTGAGGGGATATCTCGCTTGTGTTGGACTAATTAATCATATAGGGGTTGTACAAGGATTATATAGGATCTTATCCTGAACCCTGAACCCGCACTTGTATGAGCGCTAAGAACTAGAATTTGGAGTGATTCGGGTGGTCCCGGAGAAGTACGTTTAACCTTTCCGCTGTGTCTTATCAGCAGCAACAGCCCTGTCGGTCCTTAGGGCTTAGGTTTCATAGGGTACATGGCTCAGGGTTTAGGTACCTGCACTTCAAATAATAACTAGCACTTCAACATGGAACGTGGGTAAACCCTAATCTCTCAACACTGACCCCTCACAACCCAAGTCCTAAGAAATCCAAATCCCAAGCCTTTGCCCCTGAAAGCCCTAAGTGCCGACCCTATGAACCCCAGATACGCTTATGTCCCTACAGGCCCCTATAAACACACCACAAAATGGTATTTTCAAAGCCAACCGGGGGGGACCTCATCCTAGACCCCAATATACTGTATAGTTCTTATCATAGAGAACCCCAAAACGGGTACCCGTCATTTTGGGAAACCTCCAACCCTAAACCTTAAACCCTAAGCCCTAAAGCCTGAACCCTGAACCCTGAACCCTACGCCCCAAATCCACAAAAAGCCGAGTTTGCGAGCGTCTGCAGGTTAAGGAGCTGCGAAACGGCCGCTTGGCCATGCTGGCATACTCAGGCAGGTTGGGTTCGTAGGGTTTAGGGTTCAGGGTTTAGAGCTTAGGGGTTTAGGGTTCAGAGTTTAGGGCCTAGGGTTTAGGGGTTTAGGGTTTAGAGTTTGGGGTTTAGGATTTAGGTTTTAGGGTCTGAGTCTTAGGGTTTGGGGTTTAGGGTGTAGGGTCTGAGTCTTAGGGTTTGGGGTTTAGTTCTGAGGCTTCGGGGTTCAGGGTTTGGGGTTTAGGGACGTACAGGGCTTTACAGGGGTTATGTGAGCAGGATTTAGTCCCCGTCAAGTAGACAAAATATGGCTTTGGGTATCTTTTCATAAGATCCCCCTATACCCCATATTCTATCTACTCAAGGGGGACTATAGCCCAAAACCCTAAACCCTAAACCCTAAATAGTAGCTTCCATTATCTTTTCCATTATTTCCAAATATCCCCCATATTCTATCTTAAACCCTACACCACACACCCTAAACCCTAAACCCTGAGCCCTAAGCAACAAAACCTACACCCTAGGGGTTGAGAGTCTCGCGAACTTCGCAAAAAAGATTGGCAGGAGGTATAACTGGCGATGGGCCCTTTCAAGCTCTTAACCTTGCATAGGATTCAGGGTTTAGGGTTTAGGGTTTAGGATTTAGGGTTTAGGGTTTAGGGTTTAGGATTTAGGGTTTAGGGTTTAGGGTATAGGCGGGTTTTGGGTTTAGGGTTTGCTGCTTAGGGCTTAGGACCCTAAATCTTAAACACTACTGTTGATACTAAAAACCCACACGACCTTACTACACTATAGTACCCAACCCTAAACCCTAAGCACCACTTCCTTCGAAGGTCCCAAAAAAAAAACCCCGAAGGTGCCGATCTTGGAGTTCTTGTAAAAGGTTTAGCTTCTTGGAAGGGCTGTGATACTAACCTGTAAAGACAGTTCTAACCTAGTTTTTGCATCCCAATAAGCAGTCCCCCGCTCCAAGTAGTAGGTCCAAGATATGGTGTCTCAGGATGCAAAATTTTCGTGCCTGGCTGCATGAGGAGAAGGGTTGTACAAGCTGTTCGACTTCGGTTTGCTTGGGGTCTAGGGTTTAGGCATAGGAAAGTGCAAGCTCCTCGAAAATGACCCTGTTCGATCTCCAAGGGGTTCCCATAATCCCCTTGTAACTCTCATATTTGCTTCGGGTTCCTAAAGGCCCCATTCTTTGACAAACCTCCCAGTTGAGCTTTGGCAAGACGTTGCCAAGAAAGAGAAGTGACGCTAAGTGTACTAGGGTTTAGGGTTCAAAGCATGTGTTTCAACTTTCAACGCGGTCATTGGAAGAAGAACAACAGCAGTGCAGGCAGATGATGGCAAGAGTATTCCTGAACCCTAAACCCTACACCCTTCTCCTTTGTCTTGGAACCCATTCATGGGTGAATACTTGGGCGTAAGGAATGGAGCAGGAAAGGAGAACTCTATCCAAACCAGGCTTAAGGGTCTGGGGTTTAGAGTGCGTACCAGGGAGTGGGGGAGTGAACCTAGGGAACAGTACAGAGTTCTTCAAGGATCATGATAGGGATCAACTCCGGCCATACCAGGCACAAACAGAGCTGCCCCATCTTCTGTGTTCCTTGAGAAGAAGCTGGGGCCCTAAACACGAAACCAAGCCCTAAACCTAAAGTTCAAACCCCTATACCCTAAAACCCTAAAACCCTAAATCCTTAACCCTAAACCCCTATACCCTAAAAGCTTAACACCCTAAACCCTTAACCCTAAACCCCCCTACACCCGAAAACCCTGCACTGACCTTTCACCCACAGAATGGGCAGGCATTGTGACCTCCGCCGTCCTCACTCAGGCGAATATTACGGTTTAGGCTTTAGGGCTCAGGTTTTCAGGGTTGGGGGTTTAGGGTTTAGGGCTTAGGTTTTTAGGGTTGGGGGTCTAGGGTTTAGGGCTTAGGTTTTTAGGGTTGGGGGTTTAGGGTTTAGGTTTAGGGTTGGGGGTTTAGGGTTTAGGTTTAGGGTTGGGGTGTAGTGTTCGATGTTTGGGTTTTGGGGTTCCAGGGTGTCGGGCCATGGCCTTTGGGGCTTCATGTTGCGATCTTTGGTACCCTAAACTCTAAAACCCTACAACGCTTTCCCTTGATGTTGAAGAGACACCTCTGACCTGGCCCCTAACATTCAAAATGCTACCACCTAGATGTACATATTCCCTAAGCCCTAAACCCTATATGAGCCATAGTCTAAACTCCGTAAAGTGGGGTTATATAGGGGATTTTATAGGGGAGTAGTATAGCGGTTATAAAGGTGGATACTTGGAGTTTAGACTACAACTCACACACATATATATATATATACATATTGGTAGTTGGTGAATGTGAGGGGACCGAAAGCTTAAACCCTGAACCCGTAACCCTAAATCCTTCAACCCTAAATCCCTAAACCCCAGATGCCTAAAATCCTTAAACCCTGAATCCCCAAATCCTTAAGCCCTAAATCCTTAAACCCCAAACCCCTGAATCCTTTAACCTTACACCCTACACCCCTAAACACCAAATCCTTAAATCGTGGGCACTTGCCAGGCTTCAGTCGAGGGGTGTTGGTTCGGGGTTTCATGGTTCAAGAGGTTTGAAGTTGGATGTTGGCTAAGCCACCTAAATCTAGAATACAATCCAAACTCTAAATCTTAGATTTTTGGGTTCAGGGTTTAGGGACTGGGTTCGGGGTATAGGGTTTCTCAAGAAGCCTCACTGTGAATGCTATCCGTTGCAGAACAACAGGTGCCCATACTTCTTGGGGGAGCTAAGGAACTAGGGATAATCTATATCAAGATAATATGGGAGCCAAAGTCCAAAACCGTAGGGGAGACAAGTTCCTCCCGAAAATTACTGTTCCTGCAAAGCCGACGACCCACGCTCCATTCAGAGTCTGGGATGCCCTGTAGGGATTACGGTGTAGGGTTTATGATCTAATGTAGATCCCTGATTAATAACCCCCCCTCCCCTTAACAGGATTATAGTAGGGATCCTAATGTTTAGGCCCTTAAAGCAGGGGGTTTATTAGTCATGGGTCTACATTAGGGAGGATTTAGGTTTTAAAAGGTTTGCAATCTAATGTTTACAGATTAGAGTTTAGGACGTAGGACTTAGGCTTCAGGGTTTAGGAACTAGGGTCTAGGGCGCCTCCCAATAAGCTGAGACGAGGATTTCTCAAAACAGGGTAGTCCTTTGGGTTCCTTAAATGTTTTCCCTTATTGGTTTTATAGGGACCCATCTATACTAATATTTTTCAAGGCCCTCTAAAGGCCAACCAAGAAAAGTTCGGGTCGTCTTTCCGATTCTCATGCTAAGGGCTCGTGGGCATCTCAGAAGCCACATTGCCGGAACCGGTTTAGGGTTTAGGGTTGAGGGTTTAGGGTTTAGGGTTTAGGGTTGAGGGTTTAGGGTTTAGGGTTGAGGGTTTAGGGTTTAGGTAAACCCTTCAACCCTGACCCCTAAACCCAGGACAAGTGGCCTTTCTTTGACGTGGTTGTGAACTCTGTGGCCAACGCCCCGCAGGTACGGCAGGGTAATGCAAGGCCATATGCTAGTTCCCAGAATAGAGGGACCCCCTATAAGACCACTGACTTTGAAAATCCTTGTTATAGGGACTTCCAAAAAGGTTTCTTAATTTCGGGAACCCCATATTTCGCAACCAAGCTGGACATTTGGAATGCTGTAGAAATATGGAATATTCGGCAATAGTACTCCCGTACAATCATTATGAATTTTACTACCCATCCCAACCCTGTTCAAGTATAATTAGCGGAGACCTGCGCATGTAGATTACTCAGAGGTGTGAAAGGTCTTGGGCTTTGGGTTGCTCAATAACAAGTTTTTTTAGAGCCCCACGCTTGAAGGCTTTAAGGTAGTAGCCTTCTGTAGTCATAGGAGCCATAGTCTAAAGTCCCTAAAGGGGTTATATGGGGATCATATAGGGGACTGTTTTTGGGGCTATTAGGGGGGATACTCGGAGTTCAGAATATAGGGTCCAAGTTTGGGGCGTTGGGGTTACGAATATCCTCTGATTATTCGAGGCTTGTTGTTGCAGGTCGAGAGATGAGGGCTTTGGGGAAAGGCTTGCGGAAATTTCAGGGTTGGAGGGCTTCGGGTTTGGGGTTGAGGGTTTGGGGCTTAGGACGGTTAGGGCCTAATTACAATGCAGGGCAAATGTAAATGGCCTGGGCTTCTGCCCACCTCAAGACAATGACGGACGTCCGACGAGGAGATATGCAGATTTGCCTTGAGCTGTTTACTGTGGACCCTAAACCCTAAACCTTAAACCCAACCTCTTAAACCCTAAACAAGGGTGCCTGACATGCCACAAGTGAGCTACTCTCCTCGTCTGCATCCAGAAGATAGACAGAGAATCCAAAATCCTTAGCCCGACATATCCCTACAAACCCCGGTTTCCATTTCATTTTCCATCTTGTCCATTTGATTCCATTCTTGGGAGAAATCCCCGACCCCTAAAACCCCAAGCCCTAAGCCCCAGACCCAAGACCCCAAACCCTAGGCCCTGAACCCTAAACCCAAAACCCTAAATCCTAGACTCTGAAACCTCAACCCCCTGGGCTGCTTGCCTTCATGGGCTGTGCACGCTTGGAAGGGCTCTTGAACTGTGCTTTCTGTGGTCTAGGAGGGTTTAGGGTTCAGGTTTTACATGTTGTCTGCCTAGTACTTCAGCCCTTCTAAGCCCCCCGACCGCTCAATCCCAAGCCCAAAACCTTAAACCCTCATCTCTAATCCCACCAGGAATGCACCTTCCCAAATCAGCCCTAGGCCCTGAACCTTAATCATTCTGAGTTGCCGCTACGGAACGGTTTATGTGGAATCCTTGTTACTCTTACTGGCGTGACTTCCAAAGCACATTGACAAGCTTGTTGCCTGACTTCTCAGGGTGCTCCTTGAATTTTCACGAGTGGCTGAAGTAGGGTATTCTACATAGGGACCCTGAGGGCTACGGTTGATACCAAAGATCCCAGTACTACACTCTAGTACCGTGATTCCCAAGGTATAAGGTACTGAGGGTCGTGCAGGATTTGTAGTTGGACAATGCAAGGTTGGCTCCATTGATGCATGCCCTAAGCTTACTGGGTGTTACTAGGGAATATGAGAATATATCCTTACATATTGGTTATATAGGGATTATATTACGTTCTTCCCTACTAAGCACCAGCAAGTAAGCTTGAATCGCTGAACGTACTCATCTTTTGCTGTCAGCCTAAGTCGAGGAAAACTAAGTGAGAATCAGGTAACGTCATATGGGTCCTTGAACATTCCATTGCAGATAACACGAGTGTATCGCAATATGCATACCCTCCCTGAGCAACTCATTTTTTGTTTTCCGATTAGTCCGACTTGCTCCATACGTCAACCACTACGGTAGCACCGAGAAACAGCCACGTGCAAGATCAATTCTACGATTCTACGTAGGTTTTAAAGAGCTCTTGGTTCAAAGTTTGGGGTGCAAGGCGCAGGGGCATGGCGTTGTTTGAAGCCTGAAGGCATCATTCTCTGGGTAGCTATGGTAGACGTAGACCCCTTAGGGCCTTGGGGAAAACGACGCCTTGAAACAGACTCTCAGTTTAGCCTCTGCAGCTTTTGACCTAATCTACTTTACCCTAAACCCTAAACCCCTCCACTCATCCTCCCCAACGTGCCCCATGCCTAGCCCTAAAATCCTAAACCCTAAACCCTAAACCGTAAGCGCTAGACCCTAAACCTTCCACCCATAGCCCAAAATCTGCTCCATGCCGAGCCCTAAGCCTAAAGTGCTGCGAGACCCCTTTCCCGTCAACCTCCTCCTCGGGTTTAGGGTTTCGGGTTTAGGCCCTAAGACAACTAGTATGATTCATCTGCTGTTATTCTTAACTACTAGTAGCGTTATGAATGGGTTCAGGGTTTAGGGCTTAAGTTTACCATTGCCAGTCCTACTGCTAACATTTCCATTACCATTACATCAGCAATTATTACCCATCATTCTTATCTTCATCTTTTCTAATACTATGACTATTACGCTTAAGCCCTAAACCCGACTCCGCTGAAGCTTCAACCCTGCTCCCCTACCCCTAGTTAGAAAGCCATAGAGCCGCTTCGTTTGGAGAGGGTTTAGGGTCTAGGGTTTAGGATATAGGGTAGGGTAAAGGATTTTCAGATTTCCTGTCAACTTGAACCCATCAACATTGCAAAAGGCTCGAATAGCCCAGCTCCTGAGCATATCCGCATGGAGAAGCTGGTGATCATGTCAGCTTCAGCCAGCATCCCCTGCAACAGCTGGACACCTTTTTGCTGCACGGCGGCGTCCGGCGATGGGAGCCCTGGCGCCTTCCGCGTGCCCGCTGGGCCGGCCTTTGTGCTGCGGCGCAGAGGACCTCCGCGGAAGAACCGGAGGAGGTGAAGTTGCCCAGTACCAGAAGGACAACCTGGGCCTGTCCATGTACTAGCAGTACGAGTACTGCTGCTGCCAAGTCCAGGGCGCAGGCAATGCCAGCGTGGAAATGAAGCGAGTGTTGTTCGAGGTTGGTGGCATGAGGATGGGGGTAGAGTACTAAAGTTTAGGGTTCAGGGTTCAGGGTTCAGGGTCTAAGGTTTAGGGTTTAGCTAGTATCATAAGACTTACAGTAAACGTCGCCCTGGCGGTGTGTATTTGTGGTGATTTCAGCAGAAATCCTCGTTCATTTTTTTGGTGAAATTAAATGAAACATCATTTAAGCGAACGTCTCTCTCTCTCTCTCTCTCTCTCTCTCTCGGGTTTCTATGGAATAGGCCTTGAACGCCCAATCCCTTGACCTTGGGCCTGCTGATATACTTGGATGTAGAGTTTCACGTAGGGATTTTGGGGCTTCGGGATCTAGGATCGAGGGGTTTTGGGTTATAGGCCCTAAGCCCTAAACCCTAAACCCTAAGCCCTTAGCCTTAAACCCTGAACCCTAAACCCTAGACCCAGAGCCTCCTGAACTGAGAGCCTGATACATCGGTGTCTATACGACTTTTAAAGCCCATTCATTCCAATGCGAATTTCCGTTGCACCCCAAAACCCTGAACACTACATCCTGCGCCCGAAGCCCAAAACCCAAACCATAAAGCCAAATCCTCAAAGCCCGGCCCAAACCCCAATCACCAAGCATCAAACTCTAAGCCATAAACCTTAAACTCTAAGCCGCAAACCCTGAATCCATTAACCCTTAACTCCCAATGCAGTCAGGCCAGCAAGGGCTCTGCCTTCTGTGGCGCTGCTGCCCCGCAACGTGCTGGCGCGCGCACGGCAGGGTGCCCAAGAGGACTTTAAATCCAGGAGTGGATGTTGAAAGGTTTCTATATCGGTGCTTCTGAAAAAGGAGGGCCCTCACGATATGTAACGACTACATGTTGGAAAGAGTGGAGGGTTTAGGGAGGCTTCTTTATCAGTATTTCTGGGGAAGAAATACGGATTACAAAGGTCCCATTGACGGAGTCTATAGGGACAATGTCGAGAAACTCCTATACGAAAGCGCTTGGGGTGTTTAGCGCTCTGGGCTTAGGGTTTCAGAGTCTAGATTTTAGTTTAGGCTTTAATTTATGGGGTTTGACGTGGTTTCATAATGTGTCAACGTCAAGGCGCCACGTGGGGTTGCAGGGATCATGCTCGTTTAGGGTTTAGGGTTTGAGATTTGAGGTTAGGTGCCAAGGGAGGGTATGGGGAGTAGTGAACGAGCAGTGGAGAGAGTGCAGGTGGTGACTGGCATGTGGGTGGTGAGCTTTTTGACAAGTGTGATGTGTTTGTTTTCCTGACACTTCACCATAGATCCTACTTGGTGTGTATATAAACATCTTGTGTCCCACGCCCTAAACGGTGTATGTGGCCTTGGATGTTCAACAGGGTCAGCCCTAAACCCTACACCAGGTACGGGACAGTGGAGGGAGGATGTCTAGATCCTCCACAGTCTTAGCCCCGACCTTCTTAGCCCCCTAAATCTTGCTTAGGTTTAGGGCTTAGGGGTTCATGGGACTTAGCAGTTACTTAGTATAGGTGGAGTCAAAACCCTACTTGTAAACCCTAAACCCTAAACCCTAAATCTGATATGGGTCCAGTCTTCGGGGACTAGAGGCAGGGCCGCATGGACCTCCAAGCATCCCGATAGCCCTAAGCCCTAGACCCCCTAAATTCCTAAAGGGTTACATAGGGTAAAATAGGGTTATATAGGGTAATATAAGATAGGGTAAAATAGGGTTATGACAAAAGGGTAATATAGGATAATATAGGGGAATACCAGGTAGAAGAAGGTCATTATATAGGGTTATATAGGGTTATATAGGGTAATACAGGATAATATGGGGCAATATACGGTTCTATAGGTTCTATAGGATAATATAGGGTAATATAAGGCCGCTTAGATCAGCTTCCTAGACTCCTGAACCCTCGGTTCAAAATCGCGTAGCTCTCTCTATGGGTCCCAGGGGTGAGCTACGGACGAAAGTTAGGATGGGGGAGGGGGCCTGTAGGGATATATGTAAATCTATATATGTATACATAATATATATATATGTATATATATATGTATATGTATATATGTATATATATAATATATGTATATATGTATATATGTATATATATATATATGCATATATAGGGGGGGTATTATAAGGGGACCTATGAAGGAATAGAACTTTAGTCCAGGTCTCATATGGGGAAGGGAAGGTAGTAGTTCTACAGTCCCAGAGGGGAGCTTTTAAGGTTTGGAACTCAGGCTTTAGGACTTAGGGTTTGGGATTTCGGGTATAGGGTTTAGGGGTTGGAGAAAGAGTTCTGTGCATTTTTCTGACAGGAAGAGGGCCCCCACAATGACTTGGAATCCTGAAGGTACCTTGTTTTCACTCTAGCTTTGAGGCCCAAACCTTTGCCCTCCCCGAACTAACATGGAAACCCATATAGTGCATTTTTGAAGAGACTGAATTTCTATAGAAACTTGTTTTGGGTTTCCATGTCAGTTAGCGGGAGGGTGCAGTCCAACGCCCCCCCCTCCCCCCCGCAACAAGCGCTGAACTCTGAAACACCTCGAGTTTGTGCCGATGCGCTCGCCCCAAGAGCTAAAAAGACGCGCCAACTTGCTGACAAGCGCATGGCAGCCATTAAAACTCCAAACTAATGGGTTCAGGGTTTAGGGTTTAGGGGTTAGGGTTTAGGGTTCCTAAACACTAAGCCCCCAACCCTAACCCGTAAACCTTTAACTCCTCAGCCCTTAACCTTCCGGAAGCAGCTCTAACGCACCCAGGTCTGCCAGGCCTCTGCCAGCAAGAGCCTGCCTTTCCTGTGGTGGCCTCGGCGTCTGAAAGAGGGTTTGGGGTTCAGAGTTTGGGGTTTTTTAGTTTGGGGTTTAGAGTTTGGGGTTTAGGGTTGAGGGTTTAGGCCTTAGGGTTCAGGGCTCAGGGTTTAGGGCTCGGGGTTGAGGGTGTAGGCCTTGGGGTTCAAGGTTCAGGGTCCAGGTCAGTGGCTTGAGAGATCCGGTACCAAAAATCCTACATGACCCTAATTACCTTACACCCTGGGAAGTTTAGCATTTTGGTCTACTAAGGGTCGTGTAGGAATTTAGTATCAACATGTAAGGTTGGAGATTAGAAAATAGGTAAATTCGGGTTTGAGGTTTAGGGCTTTCTGTCAGGATGTTGGGGTTTCAGGTTCTGAGTCTAGAGTTCAGGGTCCTCAAAGTATTGGACTCAGGTGGTTCTGGATGTCTTCCATCCACAGAATTGGGGTTATATGGCAGCTACACTGGAAGATGCAAGGTCAAGGGTTCCTGTAGGGTTTCGGCTTTATGTTGAGGGTTCAGTGGCGACAAGGCTTGATTTTCTTTCTTGTTTTTAAATTATGTAGCAAAAGTACGGCGGCTAACGTGCGGGTCGAGGACTTACACTCCGATGGCTGACAGGAGTCCAAGTGACCGATGCTTTGACCCCACGCTGAACGAAACTGCGGCGTCGGCGTGGGCGGCTGCCAGGCGTGTGCAAAGCGACATTTCGCACGAGCCAGGAGCGATCCTCCGTGGCTCCCTGAGACCATCACTATAATGATGGTATCCTCTTGAGTGTGCACCAACTGCATCTTGCAGAGGCACGAAGAACACGTTCTTGAATTTGGACGTGATCGAAAAGGCATGCTACAGCCCCTATTCTTAAAGGGACTTTAGTCTTGATGGGTCTTTTTCTGGGTTTGCATGTTAGTTTCCGGGAGGGTATTGGGTAGTTTTCCTGAATTAACAGCCAAGTCACGGTGGTCAAAGCAACAGCCCGTGAAGCAAAACGGCAGCTGCTACAGAGGATAAGTCAGAAGTGGACCTCTTCCTCCCTAAAACCCTTTTGTTCCTGGCTGGACTATGTGTTTGACCTTCTTCAGAGAGGTAGTAACTGCCCTAAACCCTACTCCCTAAGCCTTAATCCCTCGAGCCTAAACCCAAATCCCAAAACCCTTAAACCCGAATCCCTAAACCCTAGACCCTAGACCCTCGTCCCTAGTCCTTAAACCCCCTGACCTGAGATTTGACATCCCAAACCTCACCTTACCTGCCAGACAGTGTAGGGCCCAAGTAAGGCTGAGGGAGTAATCTCGAGGGATCAGGGTTTATGGTTTATGAGTATGTAGTGTAGAAGCCTGAAGAAGAAGAAGCTTTTTTGTTAATTATGACGAATTTTTCTCGGGAAAGAGAATGGAACATGAGCTGGAAATTGGGGTATGTGGGGGGTTATAGGGATAGTCCTAGATTCTTTGTAAGCTCTATAGTATAAGTTACCTTAAATGGGTTTGCTAATTAGATGAAAAAGAATGATCCCGTGCTCACTGCTGCCTAGTAAGAGTATACCAGAAGACGCGCCATAAACGCTAAACCCTAAACCCTCAACCCTAAACCCTCAACCCTACACCCTAAACCCTAAACCGCGTTAGTTAGCTGGCGGAACTGCGGTGGTCTTCCTGAAAATGGCTCAACACTTCAACCCAGTCGATCAGATGCAGCTCATCAGCTTTAGGGCTTTAGGGGTTTAGGGCTTTAGGTTTAAGGGGTGCTAGGGTTTAGGGCTTAATAGGGTTTAGGGCTTTAGGGTTTAGGGCTTAATAGGGTTTAGGGGTATAGGGATTTAGGGTTTAGGGTTTAAGTCTTGGGCTTCAAGTTCGAGGCTGCGAAATGTGTCTTTGGCCAAAGCTTCAGCATCTTCAGAGATAGCGCGGCCAGTAGCTGGGGTTTGATTCCCGGAAAGTCTTCAGGCTTCCCTACTTTGGGGATATTAGGGTTTAGGGTACATGATCCCTCTATACCCCTTAATTGAACCAGTGAACCACGGTTTCCATCTAATTCTCTATTTTTCTTTTCCACCTATGCAGCCCTATGTCCCTTAAACAGCCCATAAGCCCTAAGTCCCAAACCTTCACGGCACTAAAACCCGTATGAGGCCCCCCGGGTGGAAAATGCCACCCCAAACCCTAAACATAAAACCCTAAACCCTAAACCCTAAACCCAATCCGAGGCCTAAGCCTGCAAACCTGGGCGGACTCATCGGCGGTGAGGCAGTTTAACCCCACATGCGGCTTCACGGGACTTGACATTCACTTATAAGAGGTTCTGGGGGTGACATGGAACCTGTGATGTATACAGGGGGTTTATAGGGATAGTTCCGTGAACCCTAAACTGTGTAAGGTAGCGAAGCTGTACTTCGGGTGCATTGGATCTGTTATCTACGTGTAACTCGGGCTATATGCCGTTTAAGGTTTTGAGTTTAGGGTGTAGGGTGAAACCCCTATCCATAATTGGAGTGGCATACAAAGTTCCGGGTAGGGGAGCTGTATCTAAGGTTTTTTGAACCGAGATAGATGTAGTTACCCTTCCCCAAACTAACAAGGGGCCCTATATATAGCCTCTCTTTAGAAGGACAGTACCTAGACCCTAAACCTGACAGGGGTCTTGGGCTTAGGGTTTAGGGATGTAGAGTTTAGGGTTTAGGGATTTGGAGTTTAGGATTGGCTACTTGGTGCTTAAGGGAGAGTGGAGGAGTGGCTTACAATCGTCCTGCTTCGCACCCTACAACCGCTCAGAACCCTAAACCCTCAATCCTAAATCTTATACCCTAAATCCCAAATCCATAACCCTAAACCCTAAATCCTAACCCTAAACCCTGACCTTAGACCCTAAACCGCAAATCCTAGACCTTAAAGCTTAAATCCTTAACCCTAAGCCCTAAATCCTAAAGCCTAAAGCTATATGCACTCCCCCTGTTTCAGCTTTGCGTAGGTAACTGGGTTGCTGAAACGGAATTTAAGTTAATACATTTTCCCCCCATAATGGAGAATCAAATGGAGAAGAAAATGGAAAATGAAATGGAAACTGGGGGAATATAGGGAATGAAGGAATTTAGTTTAAGTTGCTATATTGGGAAAACCATATTAATCACTATATATACCCACTACAGCAGCCCTAAACCCTAAACCCTAAAACCTAAGTCCTATATACCCTATACGCTATGGTAACTGATGTTAAGTAGGTAAGTCGAAGGTAGGGGATCCTGAAGACTCTGAGGTGTTGGGCCAACCTTGTTTAACGGGTTTTTGGGTTTATGTTTTAGGATGTTTTAGGATTTAGGGTTTAGTGTGTAGGGTTTACGACTTAGGGTTCATGATATAGGGTTTAGGGTTTAGGAAGTTGGGTTTAGGATCCCTTGTTTAGGGCTTAGAGCTTAACCTCCCCCAACATGTAGGTCCTTTTTACTCAATTAAGTGGTATATTGAAGGTTCATGGTACCCAATAAGTACTCCTAGGTACCCCACTAGTCCCCTTTTGCCCTTTTTATTTCGGGTGTCTCTCTATTAGAGCAGAACATTAGGAAAAGGGGCACCTTTATTCATATGAGATTATTTACTGGGGAACCTAGACTCGTTTAGGATTTAGGGTTAGATTTGAACAGGGCTTATAACCCTAGTCATAATTTCCCTAATTGGGCTTTTGTAGGTTAGCCCATACCTCCAGTAATAAGTGGTTACTGAGTCCCATGAATGAGCCTGCAAACCCTAAACCCTAAACCCTGTATATCCATGTGGTGCTTTCACAGGCCGAGTTCGATCCCATTGGGTTCTCTGACATCATCGATGCGCCTCGCCAGCAGAGCCCATGGGTTTAGGGTTTGAGCGTATCTAGTGCAAGAATGGAGTATCAGATGGACAAGAAAATGGGCAAGTATTCAGGTCCCTACAATGCCTATGGACCCCTGTCCATGGCTTCCATATCATGGTTGTTTTCCGTATGATTTTTCAGCTTCTAAACCCACGTTGGCAACTCTTTAGGTTCTTATGGTAGGTAGGATTCAGAATTTACTCACTCTCCCCGCTCCTCTCACCCCCCCTGGAGGATTGTCAATAGTTCTTAGCTTTCATGACCCTTAATCCCTACATACTTTCCATAAAGCCAGACACATTTTAAATTCTCTAAACACCAATGCCTTAAGCATACACATTTTGAATGTTTCTAAGGCGCCCAAAACTACCCTAGCCTACCATGAACCCAATCGCTAACATGTTGGAAACGGGTTTAGGGTTTAGCGGTGTAGGGGTTTAGGGTTTAGGGGTTTAGCGTTTATGGGGTTCAGAGGTTTAGGCGTTTAGGGTTTACATTCTACCCTAAACCCTAAACCCTAAACCCTAAACCCTCTGTCGCCCAGATCAAGTGGCTTCGCGAGTCGGAGCTCAAGCACGGACGTGGCTTGGTAGCAGGAAGAGTGCGGATCTCTCGAAATCATCCGTACATATTGTTGATGGATGAAATCTTGCACCACCTAGGGGCCCTAAATGTACAGTAATTCCTAGGATTTTAGGGGCTTAAGGTGGTGCAAGTTTTCCTTCAACAACAATATCCCTAAACCTTGAACGCCAAACCCTCAACCCTAAACCTTAAAATGCGGCAATTTAGGGTCGAGGCTCGTCCACAAGGGGGGCCCACATGGTTCGGGGGCGCTTGGGCTTAGGTATAGGGCCTTGCACTCCCCAAAAATTAGCATGGAACTCCGAAAACCGCCCTGCAAAGATTACTTTCTTTTTCAAACTGGAGAGGGAGTTTCTGAATATGATCCTTACACAGTTTTGAAAGGGGGGCCCCTAGAATGTATCTTTTGCATCCACTCGCAGGAGGCCTATTTTAAGAGATGCAGAGTTCCTACAATGCAACCCCCATGGATAAAGGGCTCAGGATTTAGGAGCAGTTTCCATTCAACCCTAAACCCTAAGGCTAAACCCTCTTTCCACTTTCTTCTCCATGCGGTGATTGTTCGAACTACCTGTCCTCGAACCGGCCATAGGGTAGGTTCCCTCTTGGTTCGGTTCTCCATTGAAGGGAGAGTATTCCCAATGGCCCTTCCTTTACAAGGCTGTAGAGCAATTCCCCCAACTGAAAAATCCCTAGACCCTAAACGCTAAAAAACACCAACAAATTGGTCTGTGGGGAGCAGGGCTCATTGAATTGCCCTTGCTCTGTTTGGGGTTCCGTTTCTGAAGGTGTGCCCTAAACCCTAACCCTAAACCCTAAACCCTAAACCCAAACCCTAAACCCAAACCCTAAACCCTAAACCCTGAGCCCAAACCCTACACCCTAAACCCTAATCTCCAGAACGACGCGTTGACCCTATGTGGTTCGGTGTCCGCATAAGGTCTCCAGAGCTGGTGGCAGAATTCAAAAGAACCTAGACCCCTAAACCCTAAACCCTAAATGCTCAACCCTGAAATTGGGACTGCTTCTCAAGCCTTATCTTTCATATGTTCTCGATCAACCACCTCCTCCTAAAAACAAATCCCCCGCGCTGGCCTAAAAATGCATAGTTCCCCCATGATTAAAAGGTACTACGTGTGGGGAATTTATTGCTCGGGGGTGGGGAGGTTCATTTTAAGGGGAGGGGAGTATAGCCTTCTCACGGCCTTGATGCAAAAAATGCGCCTCCTGGGGGAAGTCGATCAGCCACCAACCCAGAAACCTTTGGCAAAAACCGAAAGGAACGGAAAGAGCCTCTAAACCTAAACCCTAAAACTTTACACCCAAAACCTAAACCCTAAGCCCGAAAACCCTGAAACCCTACTTGACCCTGAACCCTAAAACCCTACACCCTGAACTTGGATGATCTTTTGACTTAGTAAGCCTACCTACTATGCCAAAAACCCCGATTATAAGCCCTGTAACACAAGTTGCTGAACAGACTTACTACGGTTGATACTAAAAATCCTGCATGACCTTAGTATACTATAGTACCATAATTCCCAAGGTATAAGGTACTTCGGGTCATGCAGGATTTTTAGTATCCACAGTAAGTCGAACTGGGCGGGCCCCTGGGATATTTCATATTTTCCCTAATGACTTTAATAGGGGACCCTATTTACTAATATTTTTCACTGGTTTTGCAGCCCAGCTAAGTCAAGAGATCCTCCAAGTACTGAAGGCGTGTGCATGCTGGCCACTGTGGGTTTCGTCGCGGAACAGTACTGGCAACTTCCCGGCTGCCTGTCTGTTTAGGGTTCAGGGTTTAGGGTTTAGGGGTTTAGGGTTAGAAATTGTATAGGGTTGGGGTCCCTAAGTGTTGACCTGAGTTTTGATGAAAGTGTTGACCGAGTTTTTGTTTTAACTTGTCCAAAGGCAGTTTGGTGCTTCCCCTCTCCAAGCTGGTTTGGGGCGCTCTCCGAAACCAGCTTTAGAGTACTTGCTGGTTTTACAGCATTTCCGGGCTGTTTGGAGCTCCCAGAGCATTTCTAAGCTGTTTTCGGCTTTCCCAGGCCATTTCTGAGCTGTTCTGAAATTGCTTTGGACTCTGCCAGACTTTTTTGGGCTGTCTTGGGGCTCTCCCAAACCATTTCTGGGCTATCTCTCCCTAGCCATTTTGGGGTTGCATATTTCTGGGCTGTTCCGTGCCTGGCTGTTTTTGCGCAGGGCAGGGACTTGGAAACAGCACTAAGTTGGAAAAAATGAAAGCAATGGGCAAATCAACTTGAATGTCCGTTTGTGAAAGTATATAGTTTCCATTAATTGTTGTCTTGAGGGTTTAGGGTTTAGGGTTTAGGGTTATGGTATCCTGAACTAGGGGACCCAATATAGACCCCAATATATGAGGATCTTTATTAATGAGGGTTTATGGTTTAGGGGTTTAGGGTGGACTTTGTATCTACTTACCTCTGCGCTTTCAACTCTACTTATCATCCCTATGTTGGACTTCTGTAAGTTACCCCAATACACGTCGAGGTATAAGTCCAATCATAAGTAGATAAAAAGTGCCATGAATCCTCACGTACTAGGAGATTCTGAGATGTTTGCGAGTAGGGTTGCAAGTGCCCAGGATTACGATTGAAACCTAGCCCAAACCCCCAAACCCTAAACCCTAAACCCCAAACCCTAAACCCTAGACCCGCCCTACGGAGAACCCTACTTATGATTCGTTCCCTTCCCCTGCCAGTGAGTCAGATCTACGCGGGTAGGGGGGAGGCTTGGAAGTCTTTATAAGCCCAGCGGGGATATCGAAGAATCAGGAGTCCCTTTCTGTGAATGCCAATTCTTGGGTAGACATTTTTGGGTTGTGTAAGAGCCGTGTAAGAGGGTCCTCCATCCCAGTTCATGTGCACCTCGAAATGTCAGTCAGGCTCTGTGGTTTTTAAAGGCACAATTGTAAATTTTGAGTCTTGCTTCCTCCTGTTGGTTATGCTAATTCCTCATGAGAATCTAGACCCTAAACCCTAAAGTCTAAGTTCAATCACTCCGTGCTCATGTCGCAGGTTGGCGCGCCTGTTTTAGTGGTTTTTTCACTCGTAGGAGTTTTTTTTTCCCCAGTTTTCGCGTGCAGAACCCTGCCAGGGGCGGCCTCATCATAGCGCCAGTAGTTGTCCCTTCGAGACAACTGTTTTCTGCAGGGTTTCCATCTGTGTTGCCTTGCTCCCAGATTCTCTAGCTACGGGGCTCCACGACTGTATGTGGCTCAACAAACACAACCTCAATCCACAATCATGGTGCAGCCTCGGATGAGTAGTTAAAGTTTATCAGGCTTAGGTTGAAGAGTTTAGGGTTGAAGGTTTGGGTCTTAGGGTTTTGGTTTCAGGGGGGTATAGGGTTTAATTCCTAATCTGTAAGTCCTAAGCCCCAAGCCTAAACCCTAAGACAGCAGGCTGTAACGCTCAACCGGGTCAGCACATCCGCCAAGACCAACGATCTTGTGTCCCGAAGCAGTTTGACTTCAGCTGAAAACCCGAAACCCGTTTCAGTTTTGTGCTCACGCCTTAACCCTAAACCCTAAACCCCCTGACCCCAAACCCGTGGACTCCCTAGCTTGAACTCTCCGCACTCATCGGCTGTGGTTTGAGGCTTCGATGCCGCCCCTGATGCCCTGCAGGTCCCGCTTTGGGGGTGTAGGGGTTTAGGGTCTCGCGTTTGAGGTTTGGGGTCAAGGGTTTAGCGGTTTGGGGGTTTATGGGGTTCAAAGGTTTGAAATTTAGGGTTTCTACGTGAAGGTTTGGGATCCTGTCTACCTTTTTGCGACATGAGTTTCATTGTAATTATATCTGTGGAAGGAGCGCTTTCCCCCCTGGGGGAAGAGGGACTAGGGATGGTGGGGATTGAGGCTTAAACCCTAAACCCTAGGCGTTAAACCCTAAACCCTTAACTTAACCCTAAGCCCTGGGGTTCATTGCCGGCGGATGGGTTTCAGGGATCAGAGAGCCCCGTGCTAGTGGGAAGTGAGGTCATTGGTTTATGGACTTTGGACTTTTGACTTCTTGCCTCCTGAACAGAAGGGAGTGAAGAAGCGGATTCTTAACAGTAAACGTTATCAACCTCTGTAAGGGCCCAGTTTCAAGCGTAGTTTTCTCAGTTTCGTTGTCATTTGATTGTGCACTATTCGAGGCCTGAACCCTAACCTTTCAACGCCATAGTCCCCCTTAAGTATATATTATAATCAGATCCCCATATACCCCATATTCTATCTACTTAAGGGGGACTATATCCGCAGACCGCAATTCAAGTGACCTGAGGTACCCTTCATGTGAATTCTGTAATCACCCAAGAGCAAACCAACCTGAATCCTAAACCCTAGACCTTTGTGTCATTGGTAACCCTAGAAGACACTGAAGGGCCTAAATCCTAAGCCCTACACTTTAAGCCTCAAACCTTAAACCCCAGGGCCTAAACCTTAAACCTTAAAGCCCCCTACTTTCATGCTCATCTCATGGAGGCTGTCTGGGTAGCCCCCGCCAACGCCACCGGCGTTCTTCTCTTCCTCGCGGGCTACATCGAAACTTGGCTTTGCGACTTAGGGTTTCGAGTTTAGAGTT